TGATTTGTGCTTTTTCATGAATAAGCTCACTATTAGCATATCTTGAAATGTCATTAACTATGAATTAAATCTTAAGTATATTTATCCCGATTAATCACCACTATTGCATTCAGTGCAAGTGTAGATCATCTACAATAGTAGTAATGACACTTCACATTTTGTATATCTGCTAACACTCTTGACATTTTATTATATTTAAAACACTTAATACAAAAACACTGTGCACTTCATTATCATTAATGGAGAGTAGCATTATGTTCAGTCATATATTATCTGATACAGTTTCACCTTTATATGACATTACTGTGCATTTTATCAGGTATTTATGGCTGTGGACTTCTTTATAAACTTCAGTGTAGAAGAGAATGTCAAGGCAAAAAATCTTGTTCACTGCATATACAATGTACAGAAAGATAAATATATATCAATAATAAATAAACTAATTAAATGTTGCTTTCTGTTTTTTCCCTTTCATTTTGCTCTTATTTTGTTTTTTTGTTAAATGTATAGGAATTGAATGGCAAGATTTTTTTTTTGTTTGAGTTATAGCTTTTATAGTTTGAGTAGAAATTTGATGATCTTTTGACACTCATTTTAATATGTCTAGTAGATAACAGAAAAAAATATGTATATTAATAGTCTATATACATACATACATACATATATATATATATATATATATATATATATATATATATATATATATATATATATATATATATATATTAATAGTCAGTGTATATGCTGAAAAGCACTTATTCATGATAATGAGGAAGAATAATGACCTGGAGTAGCACAGATGCTCTGAAGTCATGAAATTCCTTTTATAATATTGTGAAACAGGAAATTCAAGTGACATGTGTAAGATATTTTATTTTGACATGCTTTACCAGTCACAGAATCTAGACCCAGCATAATGTCCCTAAATCTGAAGTTAACTGTAACTGTAAAATGATTTTCCTATTGTCTAGCATGAAATGTTTAAATGATTTATAGATTTTTTTTCCTTCTAGCATACAGTTCGTCCAGGTGTATCAATAAATAGTTAATATTAACTTTTTATAAAGCAATGGATGATTTCTATTAAAGATACTTCAGCATAATTGGAAATAACTCTAAGTAACATAATTTTAAAATCTGATTTGAGATGGGAACAAAGTATTATAACTACAATTATATAATTTTTTTAAATGAAAGAAATCTGTTATCAGTGTTTTTTTTTTTTTTTTGTATATTTACTTTTTTTTTACATTTTTACTTTGTAGCAGAGTAAAATCGTAGTACTAGGTTGAATTTTAGTATGACAAATTGACAATCAATTTAACCAGATTTTGTTTGACTTCTTTATGGCTAAATTATAAAAAGTGCCAGGCTGATACTGTCAAACACACACGCACACGCACAAGCACACGCACGCATGCACACGCACGCATGCACACGCACGCACACACACACACACACGCACACACACACACACACACACACACACTCTCTCTCTCTCTCTCTCTCTCTCTCTCACACACTCACACTCACTCTCTCTTTATCTCTATCTCACTACCTCCATCTCCCTCTCTCTCACACTCTTCTTCTACTTCTTCTTCTTCTTTTTCTACTCTCTCTCTCTCTTTCACTTTGAAATAAATGAAGGAAATTAAATATTATTCTTATGCTTTTATTATCTATAAATATGTGATAAAGAAAACAAGTAACACTTATTTGCTTCAGACAACAATTAGTTTAACTAATTAAAGAATAATATTTTGAATCCTACTTTGCCATCAAAATATTAAAAGAAATCATTCATCTGAAAACAAATACTGCAAACAGTAAAGTATTAGAGAATCATGACAATCAAAACGGCATAGAAAGAAAGAAAAACAATAATATTTTTGAAAAGAATTTGAAACAGGCAGGAAAGAATAGGATTATGATGTACAGTACCTTATAGCATGTTCTGGATATTTAATTACCATCTAGTGGAATTGAATATGAGAAAATAAAAATAACTGAAAGAGGGCTAGGTGAGCTAAAGCTGAATTTGACTAACAGCAGTATTCCTGTATTCACTGTACTGTGCAAACAGGTATACATGGAGGTTTAAGTGTGTATGGTGTGCACGCATTACACACTGCATTCAACTGGTGTATGCATTATAGATGACCAATTGATCAAATATTTCACTTCAGAACACCTTTAAATCAAATGCTGTATATTCTATATCTAAATTTCACTTCATGCGATATAGCCCTTTCGCCATTTTCTTTTGGTCATTGGTGAATTTTCAGTTATCGTGATTTCAATTCTAAAGAAGAAAGACAAACCAATCTCAGAAATTTGATTTTTGAAATAGAAAGATGTGTGACAGATGCCCCAACCTTTGCTTTACAGTATAAAGATATTAAATTCATTACATAAGAATAAAAATAAGAGGAGGCAAGTTTCACTAAGGATTCGAACCAGTAATGTGAGGATTCGAAATGGACGTTTCACAATATTTTGA